ATTATTTTTGCTTCCTTTTCCATGAAAATTCAGCATCATTCCTGAAATTTGAAAACTTGAGATTTTGGAAAAAGTACCCCCCCAAAAAGCAACTAAAATGATTAAAGGCCTGGAGATTAAAACATGAAGAATGGTTGGAGGATTTGGGTTTGGCTAGTCTAGAGAAAGGAAGGACTGGTGGGACACGATAGCAGGATTCTAGTATTTGAGAGGCTGCCACACAGAGGAGGGGGTCAACTTATTTTTCAAATCACCAGAAAGTAAGAGAAGAAACAAGGGATGGAAACTAATCAAGGAGAGAAGCAACCTGGAATTAAGGAGAAACTTCCTGACTGTGAGGACAATTAACCAGTAGAACAACCTGGCTTCAGAAATGGTGGGTGCTTCATCACTGGAGGCTTTTAAGAAGAGCCTGGACAGTCACTTGTCTGAAATGGTATAGGATTGAGCAGGGGGATGGACTAGAAGACCTCCAAGGTCCCTTCCAGCTCTATTCTGATTCAATATTCTAACACAAAATACTTGCCTCCATAGAAAAGAGGTGTTGGAGATGTTCAGGTTGTTTAGTTGACTTTGGCTGATCTCAAAAAGTCTAAGCTGGGTTGACCTCTTTAGTATTCGGATGAGAGACCACCAACAAAGTTCAGGACATCAGGTTGGACAGGGAATTCAACACTTCCAACAGTTACACACACACACACACACACACACACACACACACAAAAGTATAATCTTGGAAGATTTTTGTAGTATTGCCAGGAAAATAGCATGGAGTCACGCTGAACTCAAAGGAGATTTTATTTTGTACTGACTAATTATTGGGCTGAGAATCACAATTTTAAAATTGGAATAGTGCTCGGAACAAATACAAATTTGCATTTGTTCGGAGTTACAAGTCCAGAGCTTAATGTGGTAAACTTAAAGAGAATGACTGGACCAAACTCACCCAACTGCTTTCCTGGCTAAGGGGGGAACTAGAACTCACAGTCTCCTAGATTCTATCCTGGCACCTTAGCTACAAGACCAAACTCACTCTCAAAGGTGTTCAATTATTTGATGGTATTTTGACAGCCTGTTTTAAGCTCATCTAAAGAATTAACATTTTCAAACTAGGTTTCTGGTTTTGTGTATTCGTGTGCAACAGGTTTTGGGTGGAGTATGTTTCATTTTGTTCTGTAAATAATTGCACCCTGTTTGAAAGTGTTCTGGAGAATCTAGAATACGTCGGGGAAACTCTTAAAGAAATGCATCCTATTCCTTCCATACATTTTTATCCTCTTGTATCAGCAGAATGCTAAAGCCAGAAATAAGCCCAATGGAAGAAATAAACAGGAGGCAAGAAAAAATTAAGACCTTCTCCTTTGAGCCACAAAGTCCTCTTTGTAAACGTCCACATTATATTATTCTTACTCTGAAAGCAGAGTTTAGAAGATATGTTTGTTAAGCTAGCCAAAGTCAGTGAAGCACCTAATAAAATCATATATATTTGATATATATATTTTGCTGGTTTCTAAGCTACTTCCATATGAGGTACAAAAGTAACTAAACATGGGTGCAACGGTGTGAGCCATCCTTTATAATTTAGCCAACTTCTTTGCTTTTACATGTTTTTCCTACACAAAGCACTGTACTTCTTGCCAATGGTGGACTGCAAATTTTTAACAATCCCCGCCTCCCCGATTTGATGGATGGGACAAATTCCTTGGAAGAGTTAGTTAGGTTAGTTTCAACTAATTTAAACATCCGTCAGGGAAAGAGTGACCTTGAAATAACTCTGAACCTTTTATAAAGGGATAGCAGAGGCAGAACGACTGGCGGAGAGTGATTCATGGCTGAAACATCCTTGTGTGAGCTACCCTCTGTCTAGACTGTTCCAAGTTTCTTTCAGATATTGCTCTGAGAATTAAAATCTGACCCTGGAAAAACTGATGACTGCAAAAACTATCCCAAATATTCCATGTCACCTCCTCCTCCAGGCGCTGAGCTATCCTTGTTAAGACAACACTGGAATTAAAAAGAAAGAAAAGGCTTCACACTCATTCAAGAGAAGGTACACAGCATTCCATCTCTACTTGCTGGTGTGTGTTTTTTTAAAATACTAGATCTCAAAAGATGCATGTTGGAAAGTCAGAACATAAGACAAATCTTGAGTGGTAATTTTTCTGTGAACCCACGCATAGTCCTTTTTTTGAGCAGAAAGAAAACTGCTACACTAAGTGGAACAGATGGAAACCTATCCAGGAGAAAAGGAATCTGGAATTAAGGAGGTGAGGACCTAATTATCCTCACCTAATGGTGAGGACAATTAACCAGTTCAACAACTTGCCTTCTGGAATTATGGATGCTCCATCACTGGAGGTTTTTAAGAAGGGACTGGACAACCATTTATCTGTATTGCTTGAGTTGGCTAGATGACCTCCAAGGTCTCTTACAACTCTTGGTATTCTGTTATTGAACTCAATCAAATTGAATGACAGGGCTGGAAGGCATCTTGGAGGTCTTCTAGTCAGTGGTGGAATTCAAATTTTTTTTACTACCGGTTCTGTGGGCGTGTCTTGGTTTTTTTTAACAACCCCTCAGATTTGATGATGGGACAAATTCCTTGGAAGAGTTAGTTAGGTTAGTTTCAACTAATTTAAACATCAGTCAGGGAAAAAGTGACCTTGAAATAAGGTCATGTCTTCCTAGGCGTGTCTTGGTGTGTGTGGCAAGGGAAGGTTACTGCAAAATCCCTGTTCCCTCCCCACCCCACTAACCTGCTTTCCAGCTCCGTTTTCCTGTGCAGGGCAACAAAAGAAGACCCAGCCAATCAGCTGGGACTCAATGGGAGGCAGAGAATAGATGGGGGCGGGGCCAGTCAGAGGTGGGATTTGCCGTTTCTCTGAACTACTTAAAATTTTGACTTCTGGTTCTCCACAACCGGTCAGAATCTGCTGAATACCACCTCTGATTATGGGAAGGGAAACGAGATAATTTTTGGCTTTCACTAGATTCTAGGCACCACTTGACTTGATTATTATTGTTATTTAAAGTTAATTTGAAAAAATAACTAATGAGTTTATTGCAGAGTGCTAGCCCCTATTATCCTTTATGTTTACAAGAAAGTTTCTGTACCCAATAGGCATTTCTAGAAATTAATTAAATTAAAGGGATGTCTCCAATCTCATTTTTTTCCAGAAAAAAATGTACAAGGGTACACATGTGTTCCAAATGTGTTTACTTCTCCCCAAAGGAAGCCTTAATTAATGTGATGAATGCCTTAATTAATGCATTAATTAAAATAATTAATTACAGATAGCCCTCAACTTACAACCATTCATCTAACAATTGCTAGAAATTACAACAGCACCGAAAAAAGTGACTTATGACCATTCTCACACTTACTTATTAGCTGCGGTGGCGCAGTGGTGAGAGTGCAGTACTGCAGGCTACTTCTGCTGACTGCCAGCTGACCGCAATTTGGCAGATTGAATTTGACCAGGTTCAAGGTTGACTCAGCCTTCCATCCTTCCGAGGTCAATAAAATGAGGACCCAGATTGTTGGAGGCAAGAGGCTGACTCTGTAAACCACTTAGTGAGGGCTGTAAAGCACTATAAAATGGCATATAAGTCTAAGGGCTATTGCTATTGCTACAATCATTGCAGCATCCCCACGGCCATGTGATCAACATTTGGGCCCTTGGCAATTGGTATGTATGACTGTTGCAACATCCGGGTGTAGGGGATCACAATTTATGGACCTTTTCAGGCAAACCAAGTAAAGGGGGGAAGCTGGATCTGCGTAACAACCCTTGCAAAAAAGGTTCTAAACTCAGATGCAACTCAGGTGAACAACCACCTGGCTTAGGAGTGGAACTTTATTTGTCCCAATTGGGTTTATAAATCGAGAACCACCTGTATATCACATATAAGGTTCGACATTGCAATGCTAGCATCTCCAAGAAAAGTAAGGTCCTTTTTGAACACTTGGCGAACTTCCATAGAAGGGGTACAGTGCAATCTCTATTTACCCTCGACATATTCTGCATTCTTCCATGATTACTTCAGGGCTGCCATAAAAAGAAGCTGGATTTTTTCTGTTGTCTGATCGAAAGAGCTAATCCTACTTATCTGCTTTAGAAAATGGCAATGATTTCAAGAATTCCTGTATGGAGGGACTTCATCCCTCCGTGGAAAGTGGAAGGCAGAGATTCCACACCAGTCAATATCTTTGACATTGCATTACATCCATCAAACCTCAGATCACAAAAGATGTGGATTAAATGACGGGAGCAAGCATCAAAAAGTAATTCTTTAACAATCAAATTCTCTAAAACACAAGTCCGGTACTGAATTTAATTTAATCAGGACGCCATTTATGAATTATAGTTATGTGGATAGACTTAGAAGACATCCAAAGTTAGGCTTTAGCTCTTAATTGTTAATTCAGATTGAAGGTCTTTGTTATGTTGGCTGCTCTTCTTTTTTTGTCTCTTTAGCTCTTCTATTTTGTTACCTGCTATTTTTCTTGGTCGGACTTTCAGGTGATCAAATTTGGAATATAGTAAAATACAATAAAAGCAGAACATACAATTGATGCATCTTTGTGCTTCTTGTTGACCAAGTTTTGGACTTGATTCTCTGCAACCAAAGGCTGTTCCTGGGAGAGTTTTTCTCCAGCCCAGAAGGTAACCAGGACATTGGGGGCAAAGTTGGTGCTAATAAAGGGACTCCTACCGATTATCTGACTGTGTTGCCTTTGTGCCACGCCCCGAGTCATCACACCCCTTCTCTAACCCCAGAAAACTCCATGGATGTATCTAGATACTTTCCAGGGATCCAACTTCCTTGGAGTGAGATTCAAGTTTTTGTGTGCAAAAGGTAAGCAGTCCCATTGAAAATCTTTTTACCAGAACGCAGCTGCAGAAACTGGCCCATTGCACTGAATGGAGAAGTTCCCAGTTCCAGCAAAGGTACCAACGATCCAGTGGCAAACTCTTTTAACTCCCAACTTTGCTTACCTCTATCTGGTTGAGCAGAGGGTCCTCAGACCTGAAGCCGGGGATCCTCTTTTCACTGCAGAGCACGCTCACATCCTCAGTGTGCTTGCAGTCTGACACACCCCATCCGTTGGAGGTACATTGAGCTATTGATGACTCTCTGCCAGTGCAGTAGAGGTTGTCCAACCAGATGGGGCCTACAGAGAAAGAGGAGCGAAACTTCTCTTTTAGGAGGTCCAGTCTCCACTTTGTACAGTAGAAAGAATTTCATAAGATTGAGCTCTCTACCCTATAGCAATGTACAACCTCTTTGAAGCTGACTCCTTTAGGAAGAGGAATAGAAAAGGCTAACTAATGGAAAGGAACCATGAGGCCACACAGTTAAGCACTTGTGATGACCCAGGGTGGGATACAAAACAAACACAGTCACAGAAAACAGGTGAAGCCCCTCTTATTCCTTCACATTGCTTCCAAGCTCTGAATATCCTTGATAGAAGACAAAAAAACTCCCACACAGTTACAAGAAGAAGGGAAAAAAACAGGCAAGATAAGGGCTGGAGGATGCCCACAGATAACAGAACACACACTGGGAAGGACGCCAAACTCAGACAGGAACCATAAACTAGAGATATTTCCACATGTTGTTTCCAGCACTTGCCCACACACATGTTCATCCTCTTACCCAGTTGTCACAGCCCCAGCCCATGAAGAGGATCAAAGCCCTCTCCTCCCGAGTAGACCACGTCTCTCCCTTATCCTCTCCTCCCTGCATGCCCTAGGGTGGATAGGGATGGGCCTGGTCCTGCTCTAACTGCTCAGCCGGCCTCTGTCCTTTTCCAGCCTCCTCCTCCAGAGCCACACTTCCACTCCCTGTTGGCTGTTCCTCCTCCCCCTCAGAGTCAGTCTCCACCAGGGGCATGACACATTAGAGATTACACCTTTATGTAACATTTGAAAAATATTGTTGAACTCCTGTCTTTTTTTCTTCTTTTTAAATGCCCCTTTTCCTGATGTCAGCCAGACAAGAAGCGCACCCAGGAACAGAACAGAATAACAAAGTTGGAAGGGACCTTGGAGGTCTTCTAGTCCAACCCCCCGAATAGGCAGGAAACTCTACACCACTTCAGACAAATGATCATGCAATCTCTTCTTAAACACTTCCAGTGTTGGACCATTTACAACTTCTGGAGGGAAGTTGTTCCACTGATAGATTGTTCTCACTGTCAGGAAATTCCTCCTTAGTTCTAAGTTGCTTCTCTCCTTGGTTAGTTTCCATCCATTGCTTCTTGTCCTGCCTTGAGGGGCTTTGGAGAATAACTTTGATTCCCTCTTCTTTGGGGCAGCCCCTGAGAGATTGGAAGACTGCTATCAGGTCTCCCCTAGTCCTCCTTTTCATTAGACTAGACATACCCAATTCCTGCAACCGTTCTTCATATGTTCTAGCCTCCAGTCCCCTCATCATGTTTGTTGCTCTACTCTGCACTCTTTCAAGAGTCTCCACATTTTTTTTTACATCGTGGTGACCGAAACTGGATGCAGTATTCCAATTGTGGCCTTACCAAGGCATTATAAAGTCGTGTTAACACTTGAGTACTAAGAGTACTAACTCTGTTTTTATTGTAAGGATACATTAACAGAAACTTGCAAGTCTCAACATACATTTTCCCACCCCCGCTTTACAGTCCAAAAAACTGGGAAGGGTCCTTCCTTTGATTCCTCCATTATTTCAGGAAACAGCTACCTCTCATCTAAATGTCTGTGGCGCTTCTCAGTCATCCAATTCATGGTTGCCCCCAAAGCAAAGGTGCTCTTTCGAAAGGCAACTGGACTTTGCTTTTCCTTGGACATTTCGCTTTTCATCCAAGAAGCTTCTTCAGTTCTGACTGAATGGTGTGGAGGATGGAAGGATTTATATTCCTTGCGGTCATCTGGTCATTAGCACTCTCTCTGGGAGTCAGACTGATTCTTATCTAATTGTCTAGTCTGTAGCTCTTCCTCCTGTCTCCCAAGGCCATTCCCCCATACCATTATATCAATGACAATTTGTTTTTTTAATACGTGCATTTTAACAGTTGGCTTGGAGTAATGTGGAAGTTAGGTCGATAGAAGGATTAAATCAGTAACTGGATAGGTAATATAGTTGATTTCTTTCTTGAAATTTTCTCAAGCTGGTCAAAGACCACCATAAATATAGACTTACTCTGGGGAACTATCTTATCTGATTTTGGAGAAGAATATGGAGCTTTAGAGCAAGGAGCCAGGGGCAACTAGTTGATAGTTCCTCTCTTTTAGCCAGGATTAGGGCTGGCTCCACTATGTAATAGAGTGAAATCTGCTTCAAGATCTTCAAGTGGATGTAATAAATGACATCAGGAATGAAATGTGAAAAGGGAAGCAAACCATGGCTGTTCTAGACAGGTCAGGAATGGGACATCATGTGGACTCTAAGCCTAGAAGTCAGAGGTCAACCCTGATCTACCATAGCTTACCAAAATATTGTGAGTCTTTGCAAAAAGGATAAGGCAGGGGTGTCAAACTCCAAGGCCCAAGGGCCAAATCCACCCCATGGGGTGCTTAGATCTGACCCATAGGGCCACCCTGGAAACAGCAAAGGACTAGCTCACAGTGCCTTTGCTAGAGAAAACGGAGCTCAGGAGGGCCACACACACCCCTCTCCCAAGTTTTTCATTGGCAGAGGGCTGGTGAATCAAATTAAAAGCAAAACAAAAGGAGAAATGTTTCCCCTTTTGCATTGGAGCATGCAAGAAGGGACAGGAAAGGGAAAAGGGAAAGAAGGAAGACAACAAAAAAGATGGGAAGAGAGCAAGGAAGGAAAAAGAAGGAAAGAGGGAAGGGAAGAAGAAAGGAGAAGGAAGAAGAAAAAAGAAGAGGAAGGAAGGAAGGAGGATAATCAAGAGGGAAGGAAAAAGAAGAATAGGTAGGTAGGAAGGAAGGAAGGAAGGAAGGAAGGAAGGAAGGAAGGAAGGAA